ATCGCTACTAGGTTCGAGGCCATAACTTCTAGGTGGACGGCCATCGCAAGTAGGTTGGAGACCATCGCTCTTAGGTTGGAGGCCATCGCTACTAGGTTGGAGGCCATCGCTATTAGGTTGGAGGCCATCGCTACTACTAGGTTGGAGGCCATGGCTACTACTAGGTTGGAGGCCATCGCTACTAGGTTGGAGGCCATCGCTAGCCATCGCTAGTAGACTGGAGGCCATCGCTACTAGGTTAGAGTCATCTCCGATTTGGAGACGAGACATAGTCTTCGTCCAGTGGTCGACATAGTCTTGTTCTTGTGAACGCAGGTTTTGACACATCGCCCCCCGTTAGTCCTGGTGCCTATCGTCAAATCAATGAAATCACTTTTACTCAGCATTGTGGTCATGTTTGATTCCCGGCTATGTCACCTTCAGTTGGCTCAGTTGCCGCCATTTTCTTTTGTTATTTTTTGAGGCAGGGGCGCTGAGGGGGGTATACTTTCCAGGATCATTTGCTGGCTATCAATGCGGCCATGTCAGGCGTGAACCCCAAAAATGATCAAACATGTATAAAGATGTGCCATTGGCGCCGTCTCAGCATCCCAACATCTGGGGATACGAGGATACGAACTCTCCAGAAAAGAGATTCACTGGCACCATCTGGCACCCTTTTGGTGTGCTCAAAACCCGTTGCTTTTCGGATCGTTTCACACCCAAACACTTCGTGCCGAAGCAAGCGTCGATCGCGTTGGTCGCATCGATCGTCCTATACTTAGGCGTCTGCGAAGCTCAACTTGCAGCGGATCCCCAGCTCGACGTCGGTCTTGGAGTGCTTCTGCAAGGTCGCCGAGCACATGCAGCAGACACTTGGAGGTTGTCCGTCCGACCGCAAAAAGGAACCACATGAAACCGCGTTTTCCGCACGATCATCGTCACGACCTCGTGAACCAGGGTGGGCCCTCTTCCCCAAAGGAACGCATGGGTGAACGCCACAAGAAACTGAACGAACTTAGTGGACTGATGTGCCAACTGTAGATGATTGACATTGAGCAACACATGTTCACGCATGACCTGCAAACCAATCTGTAGGACTCTTACTTTGCTTAACAAAGGCACGAGTTTTCCGCCGCACCATTCTTTTTAACCTGGTGATAAGGCCCCATACGAGTCCAGTTGATATGATTTGATTTACCAAGTGATGTTCAATTGAGTGTAAGTGGGTCAGAGAAGCGGTTTGAACTTTCAATTTGCCATCATTTTTTTGTACTGACGCAGGGGTCTCGAAACACAACAACGCAGCGAGAACCCCCAACCAGAGTTTGGTTGGAGGGTCTACCATGGTCTACCTTGAGAAACACCATCTTTGCCACTTTTTCCACATGTCCAACCCCTCCGAAGGTCACCAAGGTCACCGACGTTTGTCTTTTTACATGAATAAATTGCCGATGAATAAGTGATAATGATGGATGAAAATTAATATAATGGATTCTTCATTAATTTTCATCCAATATCTCTCTTTGTCTGAATGGAAGGAACATCAATGACGAAGCCTTCGACCGGGTGCTCTCACAGATGTCCTGCCACGACATCAAGCAAATTTTGCTCGCATTAAAACTGCTCTCACAGGAGTTGGAGGCGGGCGACAGAAGGAGATCGGACTGAGTTGAAGATGTTTTGGACTGACCGGGTCGTTTTGGACAAGTTTTGGACGTTATTTAATAGTTGAGATTGAGATGATTCCTGAATGTGCGAAGGGTTCTCGTTTGACTCTGGGGGTCTGGGGTTAGAGCCTTGTTCGCGACTTGTTGTCTGAGCGACCGCAACCGTTCGCAGCCGTCCGCAGCCGTTTGCAGTAGAGCGCTTAAGGCGCTGCCGTTAATGCTTTCGGAGAGGGTTTTGCATGGAAGCGTGATGGGTCAGATTCGTGTGAAATAGCGAGGAATCGTGTGGAAACGTAAGATGTTGAAGTGTGGAGGATGATTTCACTGCGCAGGCTCAGCGTTTTGTGAGATCTGCAGTCTTCTGCGTAGTCACATTGGGATTGGCGTTTGGAGGGTGGTGTCGTTTTTGGAGTGTTGGATGTGGCTGTGACTTTGGGATTTGCATTTGAGGCTGTTGCATCGAAGCTGTGTTTTCGTGACAAGATGGCGATTTTTTGGTAGATGGGAGTGTGCTCAGAACGTGTCGAAATCATTCCAAACGTGTGGTGTGGTGCAAATTTTGTTGAAGCTGACATGATATGGTACTTTGTGCGGGCTTTGAGGTATGAACGTGCGATTTTCGTGGCAGTGACGGAGGTTACATTTCGTGGCAGGCGCAGTATTTTGTGCACTTTAGACGTGTGGACAAGGAAAGTTTCGTGGCAGGCGCAGGGAATCGTGAGGCTGCGAGTTGTGGTGGAGGTGAATGTCGCTGTGACATTGGGATTGGCGTGTGGGCAGGCATTGTGCGCGAAACTGCTTGGCAGGGCTGCTTGATGTGTGTGCTCCGATGGGGCTTCCCGCTTGACTTTTGGAGGAAGTCTCGTACGAAGTGCTTGTTTTGGAGACTTTGACGTGTGAGTTTTGGAGGATGTCTCGTGCGAAATGCTTGTTTTGGAGACGCGTGATTTTTGGAGGAAGTCTCGTACGCAACGTTCGTTTTGCAGACTCGACGTGTGAGTTTTTGATCAAGTCTCGTGCGAAACGCTGGATTGACGCGTGAATTTTGGAGGAAGTCTCGTACGAAACGCTCGTTTTGCAGACTCGACGTGTGAGTTTTTGAGGAAGTCTCGTGCGAACCGCTTGTTTTGGAGGATTGACCAATCAATTTTGGGGAAGTCTCGTAATTATGAAACTCGTTTCGCAGACTTGAAGTCTCCCACAAGAGTATCCGACAAGAGTGTCCTACAAGAATTCGCCACAAAAGTGTCCCACAAGAGTGTCCGACAAGAGTGTCCCACAAGAGTGTCCTACAAGAGTGTCCGACAAGAGTGTCCTACAAGAGTGCGCCACAAGAGTGTCCCACAAGAGTGTCCGACAAGAGTGTCCTACGAGAGTGTCCCGCAAGAGTGTCCCACAAGAGTGTCCCACAAGAGTGTCCTACAAGTGTGTTTCGCAAGAGTGTCCCACAAGAATGCCATACAAGAGTGTCCCAAAAGAGTGACCCGCAAGAGTGTCTTACCAGAGTGTTCTGCAAGAGTGTCCCACAAGATTGTCCCGCTAGAGTGCTCGACAGGAGTGCCCCACAAGAGTGTCCCACAAGAGTGTCGGACAAGAGTGTCCCACAAGACTGTTCCATAAGAGTGTCCGACAAGAGTGTCCTGAGAGAGTGTCCCACGAGAGTGACATACAAAAGTGTTCCGCAAGACTGTTTCCCAAGAGTGTCCTACAAGAGTGTCCCACAAGAGTGTGTCCTACAAGAGTGTTCCGTGTCCCACAAGAGAGTCCTACAAGAGTTACAAGTGTGTCCCGCAAGAGTGCCCACAAGAGTGTCCGACAAGAGTGTCCCACAAGAGTGTCCCACAAGAGTGTCCGACAAGAGTGTCCTACAAGAGTGTCCCACAAGAGTGACGTACAAGAGTGTCCTACAAGAGTGTCCCACAAGAGTGACGTACAAGAGTGTC